GTCTCGCGGCTGAGCTGGCGCCCAGGGGGAGGTTTCAGCCTCAATCTCTAACCATCCCCATTTTCTAGGAGTTCTCTGTCTTTCCTGGCTGCAGACTGTCTCTCAGCTGAATCTCCTCTGCTTGTTCGGGCTGTATGTTACCCATTTCAGCTGCTCGCCCTTATCTGGTCCGGGACAAAGCACCAACACGTCCGTCTAAGCCTCCGCCATTTTTTCTTCCCCTGGTGTGAATGTTAATATGCTTGATGTTGTCCCAGGTGTCTCTTATGCCATCCTTATTCTTTTTAATTCCTTTTTTTTTTTAATCTCCCAATTGGGTGATTTCCTTTATCCTGATTGTTGATACATTCTTCTGCATTATCTGATCTGCTGTTGATTCCCTTTAGTGTATTTTTCATTTCAGTTGTTATAGTCTTCAGTTCTGATAGTTTTTTTTAAATCTTTTTTATCTCTTTGTTGGAGTTCTGTACTTATCGGCAGAGTTTGATGAGCATCTTTATGACTGTTACTTTGAACTCTTTATCTAGTAGACAGCTTACTTCCTTTTAGTTTAGTTCTGTTTGGGGGGCAATGTCCTTTTTGTTTGTTTGTAACATATGCTTTTGTCTCTTCATTTTGTCTTTTTCTATGCATTAGGAAGATGAGTTACATCTCCTGGCCTTGAAAAAGTGACCTTATTGAGAAGGTGTACTGTGGGGCCCGGTGGTAGAATCCTTTCTTTCTTTCTTTCTTTTTTTTTTTTTTTAATATATTTTATTGATTTTTTACAGAGAGGAAGGGAGAGGGAGAGAGAGTTAGAAACATCGATGAGAGAGAAACATCGATCAGCTGCCTCCTGCACACCCCCTACTGGGGATGTGCCCGCAACTAAGGTACATGCCCTTGACCGGAATCGAACCTGGGACCCTTGAGTCCGCAGGCCGACGCTCTGTCCATTGAGCCAAACCGGTTATGGCAAGTAGAATCCTTTCTTGTCACCAGAGCCAGATGCTCCAGAGATGTGGACTATTGTGGCCTTCGGTTGTGGTGGTCCCCAACTGCTAAGGACACACTGACAGGCGAGGCTGGTTCCTGGCCCTCTGGCTGTGGCCTGGCCACAACTGTTGAGAGCATGCTGGTGTGCAGGGCAGCTCTTTGGTGTGAATGGCTTCGAGGCCCAGCTTCGACTACTGGCGATACACTGCACTGTGCTGGTGCTGACTGAGGCTGTTCACCAGGTGTAGCAGGGCAGGAGTCCCTTTGGAAGGTAGGCAGCTAGATGAGTCGTCAGGGAAACACCAGAGTGGAATGAACATTCTTAGCAAGGTTAAAGAAGAGTGTCAGAAATGATGCCTGCCAGCATCAGACCAGCTAGGTGGAAGGAGAGTTTAAAAGGAGGGAAATGGTGCCCACCAGCACTCTTGCCCCTAGAGAAAGTTCCAGTAGATCCCTATCCCTCAAATTAGTCAGTGTATCTATCACCTTCACATACGGCCCAGATACTTTTCAAATTGCTACCTTTGTGCTCATTTCCTACAGCCCTTTGACTCTCCTAGGTGTAAGCTCCACTGGTTTTCATATTTTCTGGGGGCTCCTCTTCCTGGTGCAGGTCCTCTAGGCTGGGGCTAGGACCCCTCCCCCTTCAGAGGGGTACATCACAATTGTGATATCCCTCCCACTTGTGGGTCACCACACTGCAAGTGAGGGTAGGGTAGGTCCTGACTAGACTGAGTCTCTGCCCCTCCTACCCATCTTAATGTAGCTTTTTCTTTGTAGAAAATTTGTTGTAAGTCTTCAGGCCATTCTCAAAGATAGCTATTCTTTATGTCGTCGTAGTTTTGATATCAGGGCAAGGAGGTGAGCTTTGGATCTTCCTACTCCACCATCTTGAACCTGAATTCTGAGCCTTGCTCTTGAATGCCAATTTAGCTTGTCCGTGAGATTGTTCCTTGTGGTTGATGCATTGTCCCTATAATATTGTCCCTGGTGCATTGTTTCCAGATCACCAAGTCACTGCCCTCCAAAATAATTTTTTTTTTATTCCTTTTCTCCTCTTTTCTAAAGGTTATTTCCAATATTAACCAGTTATACATTTTCTTTTGTCGCCTTCTTTAAACAGTGTGGTTTATGTATCAAGCTAATGGCCATATCTGAACTTCTGAATTGTAAAAAATTATTTTTGATAATATTAACCTAATTTCATTTTTTAAGAGATACTCTATCCAGGATGCAGTTTAACCTGTTGAGGAAGTCATACAAAAAGCAAAAAATGTATTAAATGGTTTCAGTTCTGGTTAGTGATTTCGATAAGTTGATGAATATGTAACAAATTGTCTTCTACTTTCACACAGCATTAAAACTTCCTTTTGGCAAAACAACAGTGATGCATTTGGTGGCCAGAGAGACATTGCCAGAGCCAAACTCTCAAGGTAAGCCAGGCGTTGGAGAAGGGTCTCACTTGAGCCACAGAGACAAGCATTCAAAAATGGCTCAGTTTTGCCCTAGCCAGTTGGTTCAGTGGATAGAGCATTGGCCTGCAGACTGAAGGGTCCCAGGTTCGATTCCAGCCAAGGGCACATATCTGGGTTGCGGACTCAATCCCCCAAATGGGGGCATGCAGGAGGCAGCCAATTAGTGGTTCTCTCTCATCATTGATGTTTCTATCTCTCTATCCCTCTCCCTTCCTTTCTGAAATCAATTAAAATATATATATATAATTTTTTTTTAAAGGCTCAGTTTTTCTTGAACAGGAATTCTTAGGGAAAGGAAGTTTTCATAGTTTATGAATAGAATGTGTTGAGCAAATAACCAGACATTCTGGAAATAGATTAAAATTAACAGCATTTATTATAGCTTTTTAATAGCAAAAAATGCAAACATTAAAAAAACACTATTATAATTCTTGTGTTGGGTGCCTTCCTTTCCACTTCCTCCTACCTCCAATTGAAGCATTATTATAAACAAGGCTTTTCTTCATTTTCTCCAGGTCAGAGGAATCGTGAGAAGACTGGAGAGAGTAATTGTTGTGTAATCTTGTAAACACTGTCTGTTAAGTGTGATGTGATGTCATCCTTGTCTTTCATGCTGCTGGGACAGAAGAGACCCAACATTGCTTCAGAAACCCTTAGGAAGTCTGCCTGTAAAGCCATGGAATTGAATGATCACATGAACACTGTCATCTTCTCTCATGAAAGTAAAAAGAACCAAGAACATTTTTCACTATGATTTTCTATTCCTAGTATTTTTGTTTATGTTGAGCAGTTTTAAAATACTGGTTTTTGAATGCAGTCAATCTCCAACGGAAAAGTTAACCAAGTTACTTTTCATAGCAGAAGCCTTTCTGCTGCCACAAAAATTTTATCACCAGAACTAACAAATCAACTGTTCCAAATACAGTTTGCACTAAAAAAAGTTTGACATTATTTTTTTCATCAGCAGAATTTATAGTGTAGTTTATGGTACCTAGAAATACTCATGTATACAATTCCACACTGGAAAACACTCAGCAGTTAATGTAGTTAATTACTGGGCCAACTGGAGAGGGGAAAAAATGGAAAAGAAACTAAAATGTTGGGTGAATTCTACCTAAGTCAGCTGTGGTGGCTGCACTGGCACGGACACTAAACTGGGTGTGACGATCTTCACCGCAGCAAGTGAAGAAACAAATGTGCCTGGTGTTTGAAGGACTCAGTAGAGAGCTGATGAGCAATTTGTTTTCCTGTAACACATGCACTCTTCAGTCATAAGTAACCGAATGCTAGTTCACACAGCACAAAAGGGATGAGTGTGCTTCCTAGCCTTAATGTGGAGGGGTAAGTTCTAATCACTCATAGACTTTCATGATTGGGCAGAAGTATTAGAAAACCTCATTTACTGTTCAATTTTATGTATTTGAATATCAGTAGATGGAATTTTTTCATAATTTTTCCTCATCTATAATTGTGTCCAGTGTCAGACTTATTCATTAGAGAGTTCAGATGAATTCTTAAAATTAAAAAATTCTCCATAATAACTGACTTCTTTCTTTATGTAGTTTGCATTTGGTATTAGTGCTTGCAATTGTATTAAAATCAATTATTTTGTTTTAAATCAATAATTTAAAAATGAATATGCTAAAAACAATTTGCACAGCACTAAAGCATGAGCTAGTTTCATCTAAACCTGTAAAAATATAAAAGATTTTATATTTTTTCACTGGGGAGAAATTTTCTTCCTAGATGAAATTACAAATATGTGTAGATTATATTTAATAAAAAACTTATAAAATACCTAACTATAGAACTTAAATATAGATTGGCGTGTAGTATATAGAACAATAATCCATATTAATAACTTTAGCCTTTATAAAATGAAGTTGCAGGCTGACATGTTCTGCATTTAAATAAGTGTCCGCGGTCCTTACAAACATTAAGTGTAAAGGGTTTCAGATTGTCAGCTTTGTTTAAAGATAATCAGATTATTTTATTCATTGTTAATGCATTGATGAAAAGGCTTTATATGCAGTAGGTCTACGAAAATATTGTTCATACTGATAGAATTAAATTTGTATAGAGCAGAGTTTTAAAAATGAATGTAAATAGCACTAAACATTTTTTTCCGCAACCTGTACTTATAGATTCTTTCTGTAAACTAAATAAAAAAGTATCGTGCATTTCGGTGGTCATTCTAAAAGGTCTTGATTAGGTTAATAATTGTTTAAGTGCTGTCATTCATGTTACATTTGTCTTCTACTTTTATTTCTTAATCTTTAAAAATTTGTTTAATTACTATTCTATTGTTAGTTTTGGGAGTTATTTACGATGTATTTTTGATATTTAATCTGGTTAATTTGCGCACAGTCAAAACAATGGTTAGAATTATGTAGTCTCTGTTATCACTAAAATGTTATATTCAAGAGATGTTAAATATTTATATGCTTTGTTGACTAGCTCAAATGTGAGTTCTATTAGTGTTGACTAAAGAAGAATCTGGTAATTACTTAATTGGGCAATTTAGTCATGTATGGCTCTCTTCTTCTTTTGTAAAACAAACTACTGGTAATTATTTTTAATACCTATTTTAATTCTATTTACTTTTCTGTTTTTCCATAGTTAAAAACTATCAGCTAATTGTGATTGAATTTTTACGACGGTTAAAAATATTCTCTACTGGTTTTTAATATATTTTTCTGTGTGCTCCCATGTTATACATTTCCCTCTCATAAGACCTCAATTTAAAGTTTGCAAAATGGATAAACTTGTTTATTATTAGAGAAAGAATTATGTCACTTAATATTTAATATCATTGTTGTGCAAATGAAAAAAAATAAAAAATAACAGTAAAATTATATACTGAAAACACCAAAAATATAGATGCCTTAATAGTATATTCATGAAAATACTCAGTTATCTCTTTAAAATAGTTTCTTGGACTGCCTGATGTCTGAAATATGATTGGTCATAGCCACGGCTACTACTGAAGGTCCCTCTGCCAAAACAACAGCTCACTTACCAAAAGGTGGAAGCTGCATAGACCCAGTAATGTAAATAAAGCCTGAATCATGGGCCTGTGACTCTGCCCAGCACTTGGTATCTATCACACTTCTTTTACGTAAATTATCCTAGACTTTACGTGTTCTGGACAAGGCTAAGCTTTCCTTCACCATTAAGCCTCAGCATGTCTCCTTGATCTGAACTATTTGCTTTCTCTTCAAGATATGTTGTATCTTATCCTGTCATGAAAAACATAGTATCTCACATTGTCATTCATATTAAATGAGGTTTTCTCATAACAAACATTTATCCTTAGTTTTATGTCATCTTGACCTTTGTTACAGTAATTTCTGTTAGTTGATTGTGGTAAACAATGTTTAATGTGAAAAGAAATTAAAAATTTCTTCATCTGTTGTAGAATACTTCCTTTAAATTATTCATAATTTTGGTGTATTTTCCTGTTCTTTATCTCTCTACTGTTTTTCTTTTTTCCCTTCAATTTACTTTATTACTTTCTTCAGTAAAATCAGTATTGTGTGTGCCAGCCTTTATTCTTCTGAGAAGGGATCAACCAAAATTTAGTGTGCCATCCTTAATGGTAACTCACAGGCATGTCTTCAAGTTTTCCACTAACATTTCCGTAATATAGTCTCTTGTTAGCCAGACAGTGATTTGGGTGAGATGAGGGCTTGAGAGAAGAGTATAAAATCTAGAATTATGATGGACACAAAGTGCAGACTGCTGCCCATTATCCAGGCACACTTTCCCTGGCCCAGGCGGAAAAGGGATGTCAGTTACTCTACAATTCAAGTGATAACAAAGGAGTTGGTTGGGTAAGCACACACACACTTCTTAATGAATCTGGAAGGGATTTAAGTCTTACACTGAGACTTCCATTGGTTTCAGAGTAGAGTTCCACATTCAAACATTTAGTATCTGATTTTTATTTTCTACAGACTTTTCTTGTGCCTTATTTTGGTAATGTCTACAATGTAGTGAGAAATTTCACTCCTTTTAATTTATTTTAAATACTAGAGGCCCGGTGCACAAAAATTTGTGCACTCGGGGGGCGGGGGGTCCTCAGCCCAGCCTGTGCCCTCTCGCAGTCTGGGACCCCTCGGGGGATAACCACCTGCTGGCTTAGGCCCGCTCCCTGAGGGGTTGGGCCTAAGCTGGCAGTCAGACATCCCTCTGGCAGCCCAGGAGACCTCGGGGGTTGTCCACTTGCCAGTGGGGAGCAGGCCTAAGCTGCAGTTGGACATCCTTAGTGCTGCTGAGGAGGCAGGAGAGGCTCCCATCACCACCACTGTACTGGCAGCCGTCAGCCTGACTTGTGGCTGAGCAAAGCTCTCCCTGTGGGAACGCACTGACCACCAGGGGGCAGCTCCTGCATTGAGCGTCTGCCCCCTGGTGGTCGGTGTGTGTCATAGTGACCAGTCATTCGCACTTGTTCTGTTAGGGTCAATTTGCATATTACCCTTTTATTATATAGGAGTGCCTGGCCAGCCTGGGTGAGGGGCTGATGGCTGTTTGTAGGCTGGCCAAACCCTCCAGAGAGGACCCTTACCCCATGAGGGTGTGGCCATCCTGGGTGAGGGGCTGATGGCTGTTTGCAGGTTGGCCACCGCCCCCAGCCACCCAAGCTCCCAGTGGAGGCTGGCTGGAAGCAGGTATCTGGGATTTATTTAGCTTCTATAATTGAAACTTTGTTGCCATGAGTGGAGCCTACAGCCGGCTCAAGGCTGGTGGGAAGCTTGGCTTCCTCCATCGCCCATGCAACCAAGCCTCCTGCTTGCTCCAGCTCCGGGGCTGCTGGCCGCCATCTTGGTTGGGTTAATTTGCATATAGTTGCTCTGATTGGCTGGTGGGCGTGGCTTGGGGGCCTTGCGAAGGTATGGTCAATTAGCATCTTTGTCTTTTATTAGTGTAGATGTTTTTATTGATTTGAGAGAGAGAGGAAGGGAAAGAGAAACATCAAGGAGAGAGAGAAACATTGGGTGCGTAGGACATTGGATGATGCTCAACTGAAAGCCACACTGGCCAGAGCAACTTTGCCATATTTAAATAACTTGAAGGAACAGACTCTAGAAGTAGTAACTGACCATCAGCAGAGCTAGAACCTCAAGGTTCCAATTGGTGTTGCATTTGTCCAGACATTCCATGTGAGTGTTTATTCAGGTCCCAGTGGACTGATTGCCTTTAAGATGGTTTTTCCAGCATTCTGCAGCCTGGCTTCCTTCACATTCCCCATCTTTATGTCACTGTTTTGTTTTTCACTAGGGGCATTGCTTTCCTGAATTCCTCTAATTTGTATGCTTCCCCCACCCCCACTCCCACACACACACTTTCTCAGATGCCCTTTTGATCATTTGAACAGTCCGTTTTGACTGACACTCATTTGGTCCTCAGATTTCAGAATCCCATGAGAATTGCTGGGCTTTGAAGTCAGCCCTGGTTTCAAGCTGGGTGACTGAACAAATTACTTAATCTTTGGACTTCTGTTTTGTTCATATATAGAATAAGAATAATACCTACTTTGAAGGGCTGTAAGAGTTACTTTTAAATAAACATGTAGAGCACATTTTGCCCAAGAACCCATTTTGTTACCAGAAAGAGGACAAGCCTAGGGTTTGTGCAGAAAAAATTTCACATGAGTCTCGGTAATTTTCCAAAGTACATTTATTAAGGCTGGGAACAGTGGAACAAGGAGAGCCTAAGTGGGGCTGCTTTAGCACAGGGATGTCCAAAAATAGGGGCCTTGGGGACAGGTTCAGAGGGTTAGCCCAGGACCAGCTACTGGTTGCAAGCCTCCTGGGGTCCCTTAGAGGTTAGGAGATCCATGCCTGGAGGGGAAGGTGCGGGGAGAGAGAGTGAGCACTGGGACCTTTGTTTTGAGGGTTTTAAAGGCTGGGAGTTTAGGGGAGGTCTTGAGGGAGGACTTTGATAGAATATTCATCAGCTTGATCCTGAGGTGCCAAAATGAGATTTATTCCCTTAACTTCATCTGTCCATGGGTGTGGTTGGCAAATGGCACTAATTGGCTTTCTGTTATCTATCTCCCAGAGTGGGGTGATTTGAAGCTCTTTGCTCTCTGGATTGAGAAGTGTAAACCATTTATGTGTCCTTGGTTTGGGGAAGGTAGGATTTTGTGATTTACTGGATGGCTGTAAACTGCTTAGCTGTATATCTATCTTAGTTTCCCTATTCTGCTTGTCCTGGCTTACTAGCATCTCTCAATTTGACAAACTGGCAAACCTGTCAAAGGCTTTTTATTAGACATTAAGTACTAGGCATTAACATGTACTGCAGACTTTAAAATATAGCTTACAAGACTGGTGCAGCCATATGGAAAACAGTATGGAGTTTCCTCAAAAAATTAAATATGGAACTGCATTTGATCCAGTGATCCCACTTCTGGGAATATATCCTAAGAAACCCCAAAACACAGATCAGAAGGAATGTATGCATCCCTATGTTCATAGCAGCACAATTACAATAGCTAAGATCTGGAAACAGCCCAAGTGCCTATGAGTAGATGAGTGGATAAAAAGGCTGTGGTACATTATCATGGAATACTATCTACACTAATAAAAGAGAAACATGCAAATTGGTGTCACTCCACTACGCCCACCAGCCAATCAGTGACTATGCAAATTAACCCAACAAAGATGGCCGTTAATTTGCACACACAGGCACAGAGTGAAGACTGAATGCTCTGGCTGGAGTGAAGACTGAAGACTGAAGAGGCTTGGCTTCTCCGCGCTGCGGCCACAGCGGAGAAGCCAAGCCTCGCTGCGGCTGGACCAAAGGCCTGGTCCTGGGTGCTCGAGGAAAACCGGTGCCAGCAGCCAGGGGAAGGAAGGCTTATTGCGCAAATCTTCATGCAACGGGCTTCTAGTTCAGCAATAGAAAAGAAGAATCTCTTATCCTTTGAGACAGCATGGAGGGACCTGGAGGGTGTCATGCTAAGTGAAATAAGTCAGTCGGAGAAAGACAAGTATCACATGATCTCACTAAGATGTGGAATCTAAGTAATAAAATAAACTGATGAATGGAGTGGATCCAGAGTCATGGAAGCATGGAACAGAGTGCAAAGTCTCAGAGGGAAGGCAGGGGAGAGTGAGTGGGTGGGAAGTAACCAAGAACCCTGTATGCATATATGCATGGCCCATGGACACACAATGGGGCAGAGGCGGGGCGGGGGTGAGCTGAGGGGGGTCAATGGTGGTCATATGTAAAACTTTCAACAATAAAGAATTATCCTATCTAATAAAGAGGGAATATGCTAATTGACCCACATGCCATCACAAAGATGGCGGCGCCCATGGCCAATGAGGGAATATGCTAATTGACTGCCCTGCCCTCAAAGATGGCGCCCATGGCCAATAAGGAGGGAATATGGTAATTGCCCCGCCTTCAAAAATGGTGGCACCCACAGCCACAAGGTGGCGATGCCCAGTCCCCTCAGCCCTGCCGGGGCTAGCAGGGCACTCCCCATGCCTGCCTCCGGAGACCCCCAGTCCTCTCAGCCTCCCAGCTGCCCAGCACTGGCCCAAGGCACAGGCAAGCCTCGGCTGTCGGCTGCCTAGGCACCCAGGGCCGCCTGAGGCTCAGGTAACCAGGGCCTGCCAAGGCTTGCACTGCTGGCAGTGGCAGCAGCAGAGGTGTGATGGGGTGTCGCCTTCCCCCGATTGCCAGGTGGCCTTCTGCCCCTGAGGGCTCCTGGACTGTGAGAGGGGGCAGGCCAGGCTGAGGGACCCCCCCTCCAGGGCATGAATTTTCATGCACCAGGCCTCTAAAATATATATATATATCCTATCTAATAAAAGACAAAAAGGGTAATTAACCATACCTCCACTACGCTTCCCATTGGCTAATCAGGGCAATATGCAAATTAACTGCCAAGAAAGATGGTGGTTAACCACCAACAAAGATGGCAGTTAATTTGCATATGTAGGCACCAAGCAATGGAGCGAAGCCGGCTGGCCCCGGGCAGGAGCAGCGAGCGAAGGCTGGTGTGGCGAGCGAAGAGCAAAGAGGGGGGCCCGCC